GCAGGATCTTTAGAATTTCAGCAGTATAATTTAAAAAATCTGAATGTAGGGATTGTAAACCAGTTTTAAGCCTCAACCTGGTGTTGAAAGACTTAGATTTCAGCTCTAAGATGGGAGCATGCTTTTTTAGTTTACATTCTTTTGTATGCTTGTGTTGGATTTTCTCATACTGCAATCTGAATCTGAGTTTGTATTTACTATGACTACAGACCTTCCATAAAAGTTCCTGCCAGGATAGTCAGCTATGTTCTCTTGGTTGTTGAATGGATTCGTGAAAAGCTTGGCTCCAGAAAATATAACTATGACATCTCAGCTCGTTTTTTTCATTTAGCCTCATGCACCAGAACTTTTAACTGCTCTGCAGCTCAGAAGTACATTGGATACTCACCAGTTGTCTCTCTGGAAGTGAGTTTTGTTAACTGTATGGTCCCTGATGTCCTTCTTGCATGTAATTGTCAAATCATCAATGTTTTTCTTAGAAACCTTAGTTCTTTTGCCCAATCTTTGTGGCCATTCTGTTATCCTGATAATTCTCGAGCCTATAAGCTTTGAGATTTTTCAACATTCAGCACTTTTGTCCATTTGAGTGTCTTTTATCTTGTAGGCCAATTTATCATATTTCTTATTTTTTTATTTAATTAACTTTTATTCCTTGTAATGTTAAAAGAACAATATTTACCTGGGGGCAAGGAAAATTGATGTTTTGGCCCCTTTGCAAATATACTCAGTCAGTATCCAACAATTGATTGGTCTTGCCAGTCTAACATGCTTGATTGATTCTGATAACATTTTCCTTGAAAGTCAAAGTGACCTTTAGATTACCAGCCTTTTTTCAGCTGGCACTCATTCCTATGATGGACATCAAATGAAATGAAAAGTGCGTTGTCATGTTTCAATAGCTTAATTTAAAGTCTTGGAACACCTACAACATAACATTTTATTGTTTGTGCTGGTTAATAAGCAGGATGGCATCAGATTGACCATTGAATCATTCTCTCATTTGGCCAAGGATTCGTCTTTTGGAAGATTCTTGAACTTTGAAGATCAATCAAAAGCTGAGAAGCTGCTGGGCAGTGGTAAAGGTTGGGATTTTTTTTGTTATGTAAAAGTTAAATTGGGCTGTGCAGTAATACTGGTAGTGCATTATAGAGCTGTAGGTTCAAGTCTCTACCAACATGACCTATGAAACTTTCAGAAGTGAGGTTTTATTGATTTGGGCTTAGATTGATGGATTTTGCGGTCTTGATTCTTGCGGGGGTGTCATTGTTCACACTGATGCATTGCTTTTTTACACCAGGTGACCCCTGATTTCAGCCTCCAAGTCACATGAGGTTGATGTATTTAGCTGAATGGCCATGACTATTGTTGCATTAGTCACAACTAATCTTTTTGGTTTTGTCTATGCTCAACTGAAACCACTTTCTGTCTGCATTAGCCTTTTCTTTTTAGTTATACATCATTTCAACCATATTTTGTAGTAAGGTGCCTTTTTTTGTCACTATAATGACTTAAACTCTCGTTTTGCAGTTTCAGACATTTTGCTGTGGAGAGATGAGAAGAAAACATTTACTTGTTTTGTTGCTCTTGTCCTGTTGTTTTACTGGTTTTTGCTTTCTGGAAAAACATTTGCCTCATCCACTGCCAACCTGCTGCTTTTAGTGACAACCATCCTATATGGATATGCCAATCTACCTCCAAAGATGTGAGTATTAACAACGTCAATGAAGGCCTGAGATTGAATATTACCAGGCTCTGTAACTTTATATAATTTCTTCAAATTTCTAACATGTATATATTTCTCTTCATCTTGACCCCCCCCCCCTGTTTTTTTTTCCCTACTTAAAATATGTGAGTGTTATAAATGTTTTTGCTCTAAAACTTGTTCTTATCAAAATCATTGTGTTGAATGTTTTATCTGGTCTGTTTGTGATGCTTTTGCAACAGTTCCAGTTTCAACACTCCGAAGATATCTTTGTCTTCGTTTGAAATTTCAGAAAATTCAGTGAGAGATTCTATAATGTCCATAGCATGTCTATGGAACAGAGGGCATCACACTATAAGATCATTGGCCCAAGGAGAGGGTTGGAACAAATTCTTCCAGGTATAGATTATGATAGCATTTTTTTACATTTTGAGTGATTTTATCAGTTTTCTATTTTATTTTTGTTATTTAGAACGCAATTAGTGTAGCCTTCTTCTTTTTTTTTAATGGATGTAATTTTCTTGTGGAAATTCTGTTGCTAAATAATTTTTATCATCAATTCAGGTGGTACTTTTTCTCTATTTCGTTAAGCGGATCCTGGTGGAATCCTTGGCTGTGGCAATAGGTTTAGGTAGGGAACAGTTTATTTTAAAATCCCAAATTTTATTTATTTTATCATGATCAACTCGTGTTTGTTTCCAAGTTTGACCTTGTTGGAACTAAATGCAGCTCTGGTCTTTGCCTTCACCGCCTTCTTTGTTTACGAACAATACGAATCAGAAATCGATGGATTAACAGCGATGCTCTTCAGCTTAACAAAGGGACTGCTGACGAGTTATGTTCCTGCATCTATGACATCATTTCTACAAAACAAGGGAGTGCTGCGGAAAGAGAATGGCAAGGTGGTAAATGATGAAAAGTAAGCAGCATGTGGATCAAAATCTTCTTAAACTCAAATACAGAATTCAAGCTGTTCATACACAATATGCCAGTCGATTTAGGCTTCGAAACGAGCTCTATGGAGATGAGATGCATCCCCAGAAAAACAAAAAAACGAGGTATGTTAATACAGTACAAGCCGTATCCTTTTGCTAGTCTCCGAAGGACAGATAGTCGTAGATATCCTTACTGTTAACACGTCTGTAACTCCTGTGGAATACTAGAGAGAGAATGTTCAGATATGATTTGCATTCGGATATACAGCTCTGATGTCTCTGATCTTGACTAGTGAAACATGCTCTACCCAGATCAATCTCATAGGAACTCATTAAAAACAAGTTTATTAAAGAAATTTAAACAATTTGGGTCACGTTTCATATTTGACAATGAGATGTAAAATTCTCACTATTTTTTCACACTTTTTTTTAGTTTTATTGCAAGTAGAAATGCTAAAACTTACAAGGATGATATATCAAAGTTATTAAATTTGTTGGATAAGGGGTTGATTTTGGTAAATCTAAAATGATATTACTTTAAAAAAATTTATTAAAAAAAAAACTTAAAATTGATTAGAAATTGTTTAAAGTAAAACTTAGATTTTCACTCAGAATGTTTATCAAGATTGATTGACTTAATTTATATCCAATATAATCTAAAGTTATAAAGTCAAGTTGACTTTAATAATTAATAATTAATAATTAATAATTGCTTCATGTATAAGGAAGCATAAATAAATTATTCCTCAAGTTCGTGGATGTCACACCCTTCTCATCACGCATAAATAATTTTATGCATGCGAAAAGTCTATCCAAGAGAAAAAAAAAGGGGGGAAAAGTAAAATTATTATTAAAAAAGTAAAAGCATAGATAATAAAATTCCAAAATTATGTTAAAAGTATTTATAAAAGGGCCTACAGTACCAATTAAATAATTTCCATATAAATATAAAGAAAAACAGGTAAATTTGTTGTTTTAATATGTGGGTCCCACGCCCTTGTAACCCTGTACAGAAAGAATCTTTAATGTCTTAATTCTTAAGAATAATATTAAGTAATTCTTAAAATATTCCTAAATTAGAGTGTCTACTCAAATGGTAAAAAATTGTTTGCTAATCATTTATAATCTCGTCATATAGTTTGGTTGGTACATAAATATTATTTCAATCTTACCATTCTGTATGAATTTTAAAAAAAAATTAAAAAAAATTATTTTCTCTTAAATGTACAGATCCAAATACAAATAGCTTAATACTCTATAAGAAAATAACTTAATTTTATACGAAAAAAGTCAAAAAAATAATCTTATCATTAATAATAATAAAAAAACTTGTGAATAATCTGTTTGATACTCATCTAGTAAAGATGTACGTGAGGATCTGTGAATGCAATGGTTTTTATTTTTGTTTTTAAGTACATTTTAAAGAGTATGTGAGGATACGTGAATACAGTTGTTTTTGTTTTTGTCTTTAAGGACATTTTAAAAAGTATATTTTACTCGATAAAAATTGATTTGATATTTTTTTAATGTTTTTAAATAGTTTTGATGTGATAATATAAAAAATAATTTTTAAATTTTTTTAATATATTTTCAAATAAAAAATAATTTTAAAAAATATGAAATATAACAGTAATAAATACATATGTATCTCATCATGCAAACTTAGCTAAAAACAACACCTCACTTTTAAAATTATAATTACTAAACATGGCTTAACTTAATAATATAATTTCAAAAATTTAAAGCGTGATCTGAGGTGAGTTTTAAATTAAATTAGATGATATATTATTTTCATTGAGTTTTAGTAATGTCATTATCTAAATTAACTAATATCTTATATAAAAAATAACAAAATATTATAATTTTTTTTTTGTAAAAATATTGAATCATGATTCTTATGTTTACTCAACAACTCAAGAATTCAAAAACTGTTTTTTTCCTGTCCGTTAATTATGATTAAAACTTTTAGAAAAGTAAAAGGAAAAGAAAAATCTTTAAAAATCACTATTTAACCCAACAATAAAACCCAGAGCAATAAAACCAGGATAATTTAACTGGTTAAATTTTAAATTTATTTTATAATAATTATAAGTTTATATTTTTTAAGAATTATTAAAAATTTATATAATTATTAAATTTAAAAATCAAATTAATTAAGATATATATAAATTGATACCGATGTACGCACATTTATATAATTATTAAATTTAAAATTCAAATTAATTAAGGTATATATAAATTGATACTGATGTACACACCCACAGCGATTAAAACAAAACAGAAACGACAAAGCGTTTCACCACCTTACCTCCCCTATAAATAACAGCGATCCCTCCCTTACCCGTATTTACTATTTGTCGTGTTCTCTCTCTAGAAAAAATCCCGAAATTAATTTTTTCAACCGGCAAAGCCCTAATTTCTCAAAATCCCTCCAATGGCGCCGGTTCCGATTAAATCAAACAAACCGGGAATTATAAAATCAGAGACAGACCAGAAAGACTCAATGAAAGGGAGAGAATCGAATAATTTATGGGTAGGGAACATATCAAGAGATGTAACAGAATCAGATCTAATGAAATTGTTTGCGCAATACGGTGCGATTGATAATGTAACGACGTATACAGCAAGAAGTTATGGGTTTGTTTACTTTAAACGTGCTGAGGATGCTAAACAAGCTAAAGATGCTTTACAAGGGACTTCTCTTCGTGGAAATCAGATTAAAATCGAGTTTGCTAGACCGGTTTGTTGTTCTTTTCATCTTATTAACTTTTTTAATTCTAATTTTTTTTTTTGGGTTTTGATGATTTTGGGTTTGTGGATTTTTTTTTGAATTTGATGATTGATTTGTTGTGTAATATTATTTATTTGCGTCTGGTGATCGAGATAACAGAATTTATTAACCACAAAAAAATAATTTTTTCCCCTTAACAGAGGATCGGAGATAGCGTTGATGATTTTGTTTGAAATGGGGCGTTTTGATTTAACATGCAAGGCTTTCCTTATCAAAATCAAATCGAAATCCACATAAAAATATGGTTGAGGAGAAATTATGGTTCATTTGACAATTGGTTTTTTTTTTAAAAAAAAAAATATGATTATTGTAGTATAATGATTTATTATCAGTTTTTTTGGGTTCCTTTTTGAGAGATTAATTAGAGGGTTGATAGAGGTAAAAAGATTAAAAACAGATTCTTTTAAAAAAATTTCAAAGGGTCGTACTTGATTTTTTTTTTCTTCATTACAGTTTTAAAAGTGTTATTGGATAATTAACCCGTACTACATCTTATTTTTATAGAATTACTTGAAAAAAATCTTGATTAAAAAAATTATAATTTATATATATTTTTTTCAAACTGCAACCCAAAAACTGCCACTATTGCCCGACAAAAATTCGTATTCCACTCCAATAATTATGAAATTCATATTACATTCAGCATCATTAAGAAAGAAGAGAGGAAAAAGGAATTCACATTCCATTCTACATCATCAAGAAAAAGAGGGAGGAGGATATAGCTGTTGTCCGACTCTTTTTCCTCGCCATTGTATTCGTTAATGAATTGCAAATCATAATTGTCTGCGGTGTAAATGGCTGGCAAAGCTAAATCCAATTGTCATTCCATTCAATGGATGTCGTGAAGTTGCTGTTAGACAGCAAATTGGTGGTCAAATCCCATTAGGGCCAATGGTTTTTCTTTAACATGATAAGTTTCTTGCATCTCTAGATACAGAGCTTTACCACGATCATTGAATATGCAAAAAAAAAAAAAATGAAGAGGAAAGTTAGGGAAAAGGGATAATTTCTGGAAATTTATCAGATGTACAAACGTGAATTTGCCAATCCAAAATATATGCATAACGTTTTTGTTCAACTCAGATCAGCCTGGATAGGTTTCATAAAAAATAAGATCCGGTGTGATTTGATTAAAAACTCAAGTTTCATAATAAAGAAGTAATTTGGTTAAAATTTAGGTTGATTTATAATTTGATTATATATTTCATTGTTTTTTTTAAAGCATTATTGTTTATGATATTAATTTTTTTTTTTGTTAACTGGAGTTAATTTTAATTAACTTACCCGACTAATGACTACAGCCTTGCATTGTATTATCGATCTCTACATTGGGTATGTGTAACGCTACCTTTCGCCTTAAGCTCGTAATCGTGTGTCTACCGTGTGGGAACTACTAGTCATCATTCATGACATTTCATTGATAGAGGATATATAACCAAAATTGCAGGCTGCTGAGTATTGGATGAGAAGGAAAAGCCCTTGGATTCTAAATCTAAATATAAAGTTTAAATTTTGAATGTACCTGGGGTACATGCAAAAGTTTTAATTTTATGAATTTGAAGATAAATCCTAAGGGATGAAAAACTTTTTTTTTTTTTTATCGGATATGGTTTATCTCTTGAATTTGACAAAGTACACAATTTTACCTCAGGAATAGTTTAGGATTTTATTAGCTAATGTAGGTCTTTAATAGCTGCATAATGGAATCTGCACCATTTTGGCCATCAAAATGCTCAATTAAACATTTGGCTTCTTCCCGTTGATCTTTGTACTTAGTCACATGTGGGAGAGAACTTTCAAAAGCAAATTGGAGCATGTCCGAAGACATTATTAAGAGATTCATACTCTAGAAACATGTACTAAAGCAGTTCCTCTCTTAAAGATCATTGTCTTCTTTTATCATGTCAAGGAAAAAGGAAAGAAAATGGAGTTACTCCTTTGAAAGCCTTAGTAAGTTTCGTTGCTATCAACCTGAAAAACATGAAGAAAGAATTATAATGTCATCTTTTCTCACCAAATGATTGTACAGTGGCAAGTTTTCAAGAAGCTGTCTGTTTCTCTAAATACTCTCCTAATGGAAAATTGACAAGTTGGTAACTATGAAGTTACTTTTGTAATAGGTCTCGAAAATGGTAATACAGGCAACATGTTTGAGCACGTGTCCCTTGATTTTAACAAGGATTTTTTATTTTCTTTATGTGTTTAAGAATTTACTGGTGCATAATATGTCGGGTGAGCTTCTTCTTCTTCTTTCAGGCCAAACCTAGCAGGCATCTATGGGTGGGTGGAATAGGCTCATCATTTTCTGAGGAATGGCTGGAAGAACAGTTTCTCAAGTTCGGTAAAATTGAGGATTTCAAGTTTCGTAGAGATCAAAATACTGCATATGTTGAGTATTTCAAACTGGAAGATGCTTCCCAAGCCATGAAAAACATGAATGGGAAGAAAATTGGTGGTGATCAGTTACGTGTGGATTTCCTTCGAACACAATCCTCAAGAAGAGTAAGTTGATATCTTTTGAACGTGTTTATATCTATTTTTGGCCTAGGGACTTCACTGATAGAGCTTCCATAATACAAGAAAACTAAAGTGATTCTGGCATGTACTCCATGTGTTGTCCTCCTATGACACCCCTGATTGTTTTTTTTTTTTTTGTTTCTTTTCAAATGGATCCTTTATGTTTGAGTGGTATAGTTTTTCGTTTTTCCGTTTTTCCGTTTCGGTCCATTGTATAAACAGAGGTGACATTTTCTTTACTGGCTTCAGGAACAATTACCCGACTTTCTTGATTCAAGACAGGATCAGTTTTCAGCAACACATTATGGAGAAAGACGACCTCAGGTGACAAATTGTGAACAACCCTAATTCCAATACAATTGCAAAGCTCTCTTATTTCTCCTTTCCTTAACTAGCATGTTAATTTATTACATGTCTGCTGGTTGTATGCCCTTGTGCTCATTTCACAACCTTAAGGAGCATGTACTGCAGACTGGAGTTGCAAGCCTGAACTTATTCTGTGATTTTGTGGGAGAAACTTGGCTTCATGCAGTGATATTTGAATAGATTTTTAGTTGGTCGGTAATGCTTAAACTGGCTTAGGGGAGCCAGATTTTGTTTGTTTGTAGTCTGTTCATGTGGATTATATTCTGAATTTTCGTTTTTTATGTTGTAGATACCTAAATCTCCAGGGGAGTGGAAAGATGGCCAACCCAGCAATATTTTGTGGATAGGATATCCTCCTTCTGTGCGGATTGATGAACAAATGATACATAATGCCATGATTCTTTTTGGTGAGATTGAGAAAATTAAAAGCTTTCCTTCGAGGCATTATTCATTTGTGGAATTTAGAAGTGTTGATGAAGCCCGGCGTGCCAAAGAAGGGTTGCAAGGGCGGCTTTTCAGTGATCCTCGTATCACAATTATGTTCTCAAGTAGTGGATTGGCACCTGGGAAAGAGGACTCTGGTTTTTATCCCGGAGTTGAAGGTCCTAGGCTGGAAATGTTCAACAAACATCCTTTTGCGCCTATGGACATCATTTTTGATCAACCTGGTGGGCCAAGAAATTTTCCTGGTCAATTTCCACCCAGTGGCATTCATAGACCGAACCTGCCAGTATGGCCTTTTGGTCCTCAAGGTGTTTTTGACCCTATACTTAAAGGTGGAGAACGTAATGATTTGGCTCCATCACATAGCAACCGAAATCCTGCATCTGGAATCCTCTCTTCTCCTGCTTCAGGTATCAGGCCACCCATGAGGTCAGTTTCTAGTGGTTGGGATGTGCTTGATCCAAGCCAGTTTCCTAGGGACGCCAAGCGGTCGAGGATTGATTCTGCACCGTCTGTTGATGATGATTCTTTTCCTGCTAGAAAGATGGGTGATTGTGATTTGGGTTTGGACAAAGCATATGGGCTAGGTCCTAGAGGTGCATATCCAAGTTTCCAGGGGAATAATAGTCCTAGTCCAGTTGGTGGTAGGCTTAAGGGTCATTTCGATGATAATTTCATATGGCGTGGGATTGTGGCCAAGGGTGGAATGCCTGTATGCCATGCCCGTTGTGTCCCTGTAGGAAAAGGGATAGAATCAGACATGTGAGTATGAATTTTGCTCATAATAATTTGTCTTTGCCTTCTACACATCGCAAGCATTTGAGATGTTGTAGCCTGTATCTAATTTTGTTTACTTATAATACATGCTTCTTTATGTAAAATGGTTTCACCCAATAGATTCCCTTAAAGAATTATTTGTTTCTGCTTGTTGTAGAAGCTGAGATTTGGTCGGTTGGCTTGCTAAATTTCCTTGAAATGTACAAAAACTCTTTACCTTAAATGTCTGCATGAAGTTGCTCATAATGCCTTTTCTCTATCATCATTAAATTTCCTGGTGTTGTTTTTTGCTGAAACATCTTTTTGCATCATAAATATTAGTTTGCTAACTCTGAGTTACAACTTTCCTAATTCCTTCCTGACTAACTCCAAGTCTTCTCCTCTGGCTTCAAAATTAGCTGTCACTGGATGATAACACTCAAAAATGGCTTTGTTCTCATTAGCATTTCACCTTTTCCATCATGCACTTGAGCAGTAACATCCTTTTCCACCCTAACATGTGATCTTCCCATTTTGTAGACCTCCTGTCATAAATTGCTCGGCAAGGACGGGGCTGGATGTGCTGGCTAAACACTATGCTGAGGCAATTGGGTTTGACATTGTTTTCTTCTTACCAGATAGTGAGGATGATTTTGCTTCCTATACAGAATTTTTGCATTACTTGGGTTCGAAGAATCGAGCTGGTGTAGCAAAGTTTGATGATGGGACCACTCTATTTCTTGTGCCCCCATCAGATTTCTTAAAGAATGTGTTGAAAGTTGCAGGACCTGAACGCCTGTATGGTGTAGTTCTCAAGTTGCCGCATCGGGCCCCTAACAATACATCAATGCAGCAACAATTGCCTCAGCCCATCCATTTTTCTCAGTACACAAACAATCAGATTTCGCCACCAGAAGCTGACTATAATTTGCTCCATCAGCAGGAGGAGCAAGTGATGTCAATCCATCATAACAGGGTTTTGCATGAGGATTCAAAGCTTCCTTCAAAACCAATTTATCCGTTGACAACAGTGTCCCATGCAGTGCTGCCAGTCCCCCAAGAATATGCCTCAAATCACAGTGCAGCACCGTCCTCTGCTGGATTTTTGACACCTGATCTTATTGCTACTCTTTCAACTTTACTGCCTGCAAATAAGCAGTCTAGTTCAGAATGTAACCAACCAGAATTGGCCTCTCCTATTGTCATGCCACCATTTTCTTCAGTTATCCCTGACAAAGGAACTTCCTCTCAGGGATGGAAGCATGATAATCAAGTTTCTGGAAATACAAGTCATTTACAATTTGGGAACCTCTTGAATTATCAAGTGCAGGTTCAGTCTCAGTTCCAGCCTTGCCCATCTGTCCCCAGCACATATAATCATTCAACAAATGTGGTCCCTAGAAACAGTCAAATCCAAGATTCTACTGTCAGCCTATCTCTTCAGAGTGTAACTCCATCCAGGCCATTGACTAGCTTTTCCATGCCTTCTCAAAGTGGACAGTTTGCTTTGTCTCCACAGGTCAGCCAGCAAAATCTGTTCAAAGTTCCTCATAGCACTCAGAAAGGCTATGGGGTGGTCCATGGAACATATGTTATGGAGCCGTACAGTCTATCAGTTATTCAGAAACCTAATGATACTGATACCTTGTTTTTCAGGTTCAGGGCACAAATTTTTCCCAGACCCAATCTGGGATCCCACCATCTGTAGACAGAGGGAATGGGGAGCTTCCCAGTCAAGTGCAGCAATTCCAACCTGCTCTTTCTGTATCTGGGCTGGGTATCTCAGAGGCTGATAAGAATCAGAGATACAAGTCAACGCTGCAGTTCGCAGCCAACCTCCTGCTCCAGCTACAGCAGCAGCAGAATACTAGCAACCCTGATGCACATGGATCTGGGAATCAGCAATGAGTTTTCTCTTGAGGTAATTATTTCTGCTATGACTTGTTGATTCAATAAATTGTTGATTCCTTTTAGATGGAAGTGATATATTGGCTGTCAATGTGGTAAATTTTGTTTGTTCAATTGATTAAATGTGTTCGTTGTTGTCTATGATCTTAACTCACAGGTACAATACAGAACGGAACTTTTGTCTTTCATGTTTATTTCTTTCTTAATCTACTTGACCATTTCTATTGAAGTTTTTTTCAGATCTGCTGTGATTGTCATTTTGATATAGGATATGCTTTGATATAGGAAACAAAGATGTGCAGATAAGTAAATCCATGGAAGTGCTTGTACATTGATTTTGATATAGTAAAGTTAGATGTTGGGAAGCAGTATTGTCATGGCTGTTTTGAGGAGCTTGAGTTTTTTTTTTAAGGTGCCCAGGAAGAGATGACTTGCTTTATATTGGGTTAGAACTTAATTATCGGAGTTCTATTTGATATTTTGATGATACAAGGGATTTGATTCAGGAAGAAATGGCCGATTTATTCATGGACCCATCCTTGTGTCTATTTCTCTCCCATGCTACAAGTATTGGTAGTTACAGTTCAAACACTAAAGAATTTTGTCAAAGAGAGGCTATTCATGTTGGTCAACTGTCTGTCGTAGTTATTTATCTATGTAGCATTTCCCATCCAAGCTATCTGGACCAACAATTATGACAGTAATGGCAATTGCAGGAGGTGACTTCAACAATCTAGCAGTTGCACTTAATGCTTATCGGTGTAGCCTTTTTTCTCAACTTTTAGGGGGTCCAAAAGCATAGGCTTACTCTATGATGCTCCTATCCAAGAAGGCCTTCAATAGGTTTTCCTGCTTGTTAAATGCTGTGCTATGTCAGACATGAAACCTGGCTGAAAGTAAGAACTGGTTGTGTTGTGCATCTTGAATTAAACCTAACAAGGATTTCTTTTGCCTTGTGCAGGTAAATGGAACCCAATTTTCCTCTCAAGTGGCTTCTGTACAGAATCTACTACCAGGGTTGGCTATTCTGTCTATATATATCAAGGAGAAAGTGCAAAATCATAGCTGTCTAGGGTTTGAATTTGGGTAGGGTTGGGTTGATTTTGTAGTCAATTCAGGAATGTAAATGGGTTTTGTTCCCCTCTCTCAACATGGAGTTACCAGGATTTTCTTTTCTTTTCTTTCAATAAGTCATATTCAATTTTTTCTAGTTATTGCTCATGATCTGATTTGATCTAAAACTAGAGTTGTAGATTAATATTATAAGACCTAGCTCAAGGTCTGATCTAGTCTAAGATTGAAATTTCGGGTTAGCCAAGTTATTTTTTTTTTTTAATTTTAAAACGATATTGTTTTAAAAAATAAAATGACATTCTTTAAAAAAATAAAATGATATTCTTTTAATTAAATTCAGTCCTAATCATGCTCTGAGTCAACAATTCACCGAGTTGATCCGCTGGACGACCACCATCTTTTATATATATATATATATATGCGTTTTCTGCTAGTTTGCTGGAGAGGCCACCAGAAAAATTAATTTCTGAAAAGTAGAACGCCAAATTGATCAAGCATCTAAAAATTGCCTGCCCAAAAATGTGAGCCCTATGCTTGAAGGTGTTACAGCATGTTCTCTCTCTATCTCACTCTGATCTACGGAACAATGGCAATGCGATAACGACCTAGATCACATGTTAAGGTAACTCCTGATACTTTCTTGTAACGAAGAAAAGCATGACTACAAGACCAAAAGTTCCTCAAACAAAGGGCTGTCAGCCAAAACATGACAGAGCAGAGCATGGATTTCATTTCCCGCATCTTTACTTCATCTTCCCTCTTCTTCTTCTATTTATCTTCCCAGCCTTGGAGCCATTATCACAAGAACAGCCTCCATAATGAAGCAAAGGAGGGTGATTCTCATTGCTCTGCCATCTCTTGTTCTCTTCCTCCTTTTCTTTTTCTACATCTTGTTCAACACCAGAGTGAAATCACTTCTCCTAGCTTCATCCAACAACCATTCCATTACACTCACCAAAACACCTCATACAGAAACCAAATTTAGCATCCTGATCGGAATCTTAACCCGCCCGGATAACTATGATCGCCGCCATTTCCTTCGCCTTGTCTATGGAATCCAAGCATCTTCGATAGCTGAAATTGATGTGAAGTTTGTATTTTGCAATCTCACAAAGCCTGAACAAAGGGTACTCATAGCTCTAGAAATCCTTCGTTTCAACGACATCATCATTCTTGATTGCATTGAGAATATGAACAATGGCAAGACCTATGCATACTTCTCTTCACTCCCGCATATCCTACCAAGACATTATGACTATGTCATGAAAGCTGATGATGATGTTTTCATTAGGCTTGAGCCATTGTCTTTGTCACTACAGCCACTACCATGGCAAGACCTGTATTATGGTTTTGTAATCCCTTGCAATAGCATGAATCCCTTTGCGGATTACATGTCAGGGATGGGGTTTTTGTTGTCCTGGGACCTTGTTGAATGGATTGGCAAGTCTGAAATCCCTGAGAATAACACAGTTGGGCCAGAAGACAAGATGGTTGGGAAATGGTTGAAGATGGGAAACAAGGCCAAAAACAGGTTCTCCAACAAGCCTGCAATGTATGATTATCCAGGAACAAATGGGAGGTGCTCGCATGAGCTCATACCAGAAACTGTGGCAGTTCATAGACTTAAGAGGTGGGATCAATGGCTGAATGTGCTTGAATTCTTTAATGTAACTAAACAACTTAACAACTCCAAACTATACCATGTATGATTTTTTGTTTTTTTGGATGCGTCATGTATGACTGATCTTGAAGGAGACCTGGGAATCCATGGCACGACATCTTGTAAGATTTGTAGCACAATGGTAAAAGGGCATGTGCCTCACCCATAGTACGTGCTACAATCATGTACTTGAATTGAAAACACATCTTAATTACTTTTCTTTTTTTCCACCAAGAATAAAACACATCTTAATTTATTGATAAATTAATAAACCAATTAAGAACATGTATAATCTCTTTTAGAATTTACCATTTAAGAAGTCCTTTTGTTTTTTTTATTTTGTTTGTCAAATCTCTAAATGATCTTTTAATTTTATATATTACTCCAAGTGGGTTGAGATTAAATTTTCTACTTCTAAAATAGATAATTCACTACATCTAAAATAGAAAATTCAATTAAAAAAACTATTTTTCCTTCCTTTTTTCTTTTTTTTTTAATTTAGCATTTTTGGATCTTAATTCTTGGATTAGCTTTTACAACATAAAACTGAATTATTTTTTAATTAAATCTTGACTAAATTGTTTATATGTTAGGATTTGGTTATTGCCTTGAACAAAAAAGACGAAGATAATTGATACAAAAATGACATATCCCTGTGTCTTTCCTCTTTTCTGGAAATAAATGCTTGAATCCTTGATAATTAAGTCTTTATTTTAGTATTATTATATAAATATTCATATCTCACTTCATAGTGTAAATTAAAATAAATTTACATATTTCACATTATATATATTATAGGATTGATATGCATTTAATAGGTTTAAAATTCAACAAATTTTCAATTATTAAAACTGAATTTTAAGTTAAATTGATTGACTGTCTATGATATCAAGTAAATCAATTGATTGATGATATCAAGTAAATCAATTGATTGCTTGTTTATCATGGATGAAAACAGGTTGATTGATTGACTTGATTAATCTAAATCTATTGGTCATTTTAGCTGTCAAATAAACAATAACAATTATAAATCAATTAATTTTTGCTAAAAATATATATGTAACTTATCTGATTAAAAGATTATATATATATATATATATAATTTAAATATATATCATAAACAAGCTATTTTAAGAGTAAAAACACCTAATTCACCCAATATAAAAAAATATAAGAATTAATTGTGTTTAATTGAATTAATTGTAATATTTATTATTATTAGTGAAACACCTAATTCACCCCCACTTAGATGTTGTTGTTGCTTTAATTCTAGAATAATAATAAATTCATCCAAATCTGATTTATTTTTATATTAATGTCTTTGTCTTTCCATTCAAATATATTTTTGTTTATTTTATATCTATGTATTCTAGAACACTTATCAAACATAACTTAAATGATTCATTTAATTGTTTATCACCTCACATGTCATTATAGATTCACATAATAACTTGTTTTTTTATCTGATTCTTTAATTTGTTTTTTTATTTTGATTTAATTTTTTGATATTGTATTTATTAAGGATTAGGCTTCACAATTTATTTGTATTTATTTTAGTTATTATAATCTTCAGAAAAGGCTGAGGGTTTATTTTTTAGGAAATAATATGATTGAAAATTGAAGATTAGGGACCAAAATTAAGAAACAATTGAAATGGCAGGCCTTTTATAAAACTCCAAATGGATCTCACCCTTCTTCCCCATATTTTGCTTTGGGGATTTGATGAAGTTACTTTTTGGTCCCTCTAGTATTGAATGTTAACGTCCACCTGGATTTGATGGGCTTAATGAGATCTTCAGGGTGTTCTTTGGTGTTTTTGTTCTGTAAACAATAATTCATGAAAATTAATTGGGTTCTTTTTAGGGTTTTTTTTTTTTTTTTAAAAAAAGAGAGACAGTAGAAGTATCAAGAGGTTCAAGGATTTAACCTGAGAGGAATCTTTCGGCTCTTGCCATCGAGCAACCCTGTTATTTCAAGGAAAACCCTTTTTATATATATAGGTTTAATATTATTTTTTATTTAATAATATAATAAAAAATATATAATAAAAGATGCATCATCTCCTCAACGCCATCTCAAATTTCAACTACCATTATAGTGATTATAACAAAAAAAAGAAAAAGAAAAAGAAAAAGAAAAAGAAAAAGAAAAGGAAGAAGAGATAGGGTTTTCAAGCTATTTTTCATCTCAAATATACTTTTAAAATACTATAAAAATATCTCTAGACTAAAATAATCTACCAAC